GGTATTTCTACCTGCGAAGTCGACTCATCGTTCAGGTGCTGTGTCGACTCGCCACTGAGCTGTGAGCCACGCTGCAGTGAGTCGGTGCCGTGTTGTGAACATGCAGCTTTGCTGCTGGAATTGCTTGCATTTGTTGCTGCTACAGCAGAGGTGGAAGTGGACGGTGCATTGAGTTGCGCATACGGATGCTCGGTGCCACGCACCTTGGCATAATCATGCGGCAAGCCCTTAACGCGCGAATACGGCGAGCTAACATCATCCGCCTGGCTGATGGAGCTGTGCTGCGATACGCTGGTTTGCTTTTTCAGACTGGGCTGAGCTGCTGGAGGCAAGATAATGGCGGGGATTAGCGTGTCATTCTTTTAAATTTATTTCAATACTTCAGCTGTTCAAAATAAAGCCAAACCCCTAGTGTATATACGTACGACTTTGATTATGCGCATTGGCCAGCTGCTTGTCGGCAACAGTCTCATACAATTCGGAGCCATTGTCGTTGTTCTCCGCAACGGGTATGTCCGGCAAGCTGCGATGCGCCGCTGTGCTAGATCTGTCATACGGGGGGGATGGAGCAATTAATGAATTGCAATTGAATATGATTTGCATGGGAATAGCGAACAGCAGGCAACCCACCTCTTTTCTGAGTCAGCATTCGAGACCGTAGACGCATTTAGCTCTGCTTGTGACTCACTGTTGTGCACCAGGCTGTTGCTAGTTGTTGCCGCATTTGTATTCGCATTCGAATTGTTGCTGCTGACCACAATTACCTCGTCGGGGTTCTTTAGCTTTACCATGCCCTCCAGGCCGAGCAAATCATTTCTGCGTAAAATGCATATGCACATATGTAGATATAATTATTGCATTAAAGTTTTTGGCGCGAGCGCATCCAACTGGAACTGGGACGTAACTTTCACTCGCGCACTAACCAATATGTGACTGGCCAGCACCCTGGTTATGGGCATAGCTGCAGACTCTATTTACTTACTTTGGTATTCTTTTCTTGCAGCAGAGACAATTAAAAAACATCACAATTAACGCAAGCGTTAAATTTAGCGTCACAAGGAGATATGTGTAGGCCTCCAGATTACCAAATTTTGTCGTCTCAACCATGCCTACATCTATATACATATGGACTATGTATGTTTAGAAATAACAAGAGCACGCTTTTATTTTCCCATGCGACGTCACGAAATACATTGCACTTTTACAATTATTAACAATTACAACTGTTTTTCACATAGTTTTCGCTGCTGTTGCTGCTGCAGTTGCAATGTTATTTACGATTTTTCCATTTGCCATTCACCCGAAAAATGCACACGCAGGCAACACCAAATGTAAATGTATGGCAACTCCAGTAAATGCACAGCGAGAAATTCTAACTTCATGAGATTTTTAATTCATTTGATAACACAATTGTTGCGCTCAATAACTGCATAAGTTTTGGTATAAAAAATGTTAGTAAATCTAAATGCTAAGGTTAACAATTGTTTCACAAAATATGAATATGTTTGTCTACAACTAATTTGCTCATTTTGCGCATTTGGCACGGCTATTATCAAGTAAATGCTTAAAGTTCAGTATGTTTGAATATGGTATTTTCAATATTCTCCTGAAGTTTTTCGACTTTGCGAGTTTGTTTCTTAAGTAGCTCCTCCATATCTTCAAATCGATTGCTTTTGTCCTTGTGCTTTTCATCCTGGTGTGGAAAATAGCGTTTATAATCACCCAATTACACATTTATATTTCTCACATACCTTGTACTTCTCCTTGTGCAGAGCATGCTCCGCATGTAAGTGACGTAACTTTAGCAGGCGACTCTCAAAATGATGCAGTTCGGTTTTAAGAGACGCCAATTCCTTGTCCGTGAAATTGTTTGCTTGTGCCACACGCCATAAGCCCTGCACCTTTGGCTCTATAAAGTCCTGACTATGTGGTCCGGAGGATACCAAACGCTCCAGGCGATCATAGTGATCCTTTATTCCAACATGATGTCCACGCAAAGCATTCATGTCACTTTCAAACTTTTTTACATTTTGCTCGTGTGTTTTAATCTCATTATCGTTGGGATCATTGGAAATGAGATTATAGCTATCCAGATCTTCGGTGTTGATAGCATCTATGGGCATTATTAAGATATTTAGATTCAGACAGATGTATTGCTTTTATAGTAGACGTTAACTTACTCTCATGCTTATCAGTTTCCAAGGTGCCAATGTTCTCTAGTAAGCTATAATACACATCCACTTTGTCCTGATGATGCTCAAACTCTTGTTTAAGGGATTTCAACTCTTCAGCCGTGAAACCGGATATTTCCGCTTTCTCCCACAAACGGTTTAGTTTTTTGTCCTTAAATAGACTTTTATTCTTATGCCTTTCCTCGGGATCGTGGAATTTCTGTGAAAAGCAAAACAATTATAACCATCTGTTGCACTGAGTCGTTAGGCATTGTCCGTACTTTAAAGGGCTTTACTTTTTCTGCATCCTGGGTATCTTCGAAGTGTTCCAGCAAATCGTAACTGCTCATTATTCCAATTAGCTTTTGGCGCAACTCATTGGCTTTCAGACCGTCCTTGTCTTTGTGCTGCGAGTTGAGCTGTTTCCATGCAATCTCCTCCTTATCATGTATTTTCAGTTCCATGTACAACGACTTTATTTTGCTTTCAGTCAAACGCTAAAATGCATAGTAAAGATATTAATACAATTTAAACGCTATGAACGAAAAAAATAAACGTACGTTTTGTGCCTTTGCCCAAATCAAATTCAATTTAGCCATGCGAAATGGTCGCTGGAGATTCCGAATTTCCGGCTCATACTTTTCCTCCGCGACCTGCTTGAAATGCGGGCTGTTTGCCTCTTTGCTGTACTTTTTGCTCTGTTTTTTGTCGGCGTCCACACATTGCGTTGCAATTAATAGGAATATGGCGGTAAATGCCACAATTAAGTGACACGTTTTCAACATGATACTTCTGCAGATCTGATCAAATCTTCTAAACTAGCCTCTAGTGTTGGGTTGGGAGCACAAAAAGAGTTACTGATTGGACTGAGCTCATGAACTGGTTCTTTTGTACTAGTCTTACTGAAAGTTCTACTTTTAAGTTACGTGTGATTAAATATATTAATTAAAGCAATTAACTTAGATCCGGCGAAAATGCATTTATTTTTGGGGTTATTATATAGAGCACTTTTAATTCCATCGTTTTGGGTGTAGTGATGACGTTTCTAACGATATATTTATCGATATGTCCAATTTGAATAATTGGTAAGTGTGAGTGTGACAAGGATGGGGCATTAAAATAAAACGCGCGAATATAGTTGACATTATTTCATTTAAAAATAATTCTTAAAAAAATGTGCTGTAACACATAATGAGTTGCTTCCAGTTGTATTTAATACTGTTTTATTCAACCGTCTACGTCTAGTCCAAATTGGGTATTTACAAAAATTATATTAAGACTGCATTTTTCCCAAACATTACATACTAGAACCGAAAATATATTGATAATAATTGCACATGGTGATGTCCCTTTAGTTTGTAAGGGTAAGTTCAGATCATCGAATGGCCTGCGACATATGTAGAGGCGTAACCATCAGCGTCAGTTCAGCATCCTTAAGGTTAGCACCTCGCAAATTGGCCTCCTGTAAATCGCTGCCTGATAGATTGCAACGTTCCAGATCAGCACCGGCCAGTACAGCGGCGCGTAAATTACAATTTTTCATGTTTGCATTTTTCAGATTTGCTACGCGCAAGTTGACACCGGCCATATTACTGCTCTCCAGGCAGGCACCCTTCAGATTCACGCCCTCCAAATTGGTGCGCACACCTGTTGGATCCTCAAAATTGCAGCCACGTAAATTGGCGCCCTCCTAAAAATGAATGAATAATAAAAAAATTGACCAGGCGTATTTCGTGCGTGTTTCCTAATGGGGATTCATGTTCGTATCGTGTTAGTTGATTCCGATACGCGCACATCTCTAGTATACACTGAGGAAATATTTACCATGTTGGCACAAAGTCCACGCACTGAGACTAACTGAGCGCATTCCAGATTCGCATACTGAAGATCCGCACGCTCCAGGCAGCAGTAGTTAAGATTTGTGTGCGATAAATTGCAACGCGACATGTTTGCATACTTATAAAGAAGAGAAAATAATTAGTATAGATAGAAGTTTAATATCAAGAACACTGCGCACCTTAAAATTAATGTTCCGGAAGTCTAATTTGCGCAGATCTGCCCCGGCTAGATTGACTCCCTGGAAACGCAGTTCCGTAATTGCAGATGTCTGTATGATGGCTTTTATGACGTCCATGCGCGTCAGTGGTCTATCGTCGGTCTGCTCCTGCTCGCCCAGTCTCTCCTCCAAGTGTGTGACCAACGAGTAAATGCCAAAGAAACGCGCCTCCTCTAAAACACCCTTTAAACTGATGTGATTATCGCATACAAATTCGCCGTGACGCAAATAATTAATAATCGGCTCGAAATAGCGAGCACTTCGGTCGATCAAGTACGCGCCCTGCTCGTCCCTTTCACTGGGCATCATGCCACCATCCTGTAGAAACATTCTCGCTAGCATTGAGTCCGGTTCACGGCCAACGAGCGTATCAATTGTTGTTGTATAAATTTTTCCACCCACATTTAGTTTCACCCATTTATTGGATGGGAAAGTGTGCGAGGTGAGTGCTACGCCGCTAACTGCAACAACACCATTTCCATTCTCTTGCGCTCCATCACTTTCCATTGGGTTAAATTTTTTGCAATTGTTTTGTTTTGTTGTGGTTTTTGTTGCTGCACTTTCAGCTGCTCCGATTTCTTCGTTTGGGTGAACGGCAATTTATCGTTGGTGTGGCAGCACATCTATTTTCAGCAATCGATATTAATCGTTTGTCTGGCGATAAAGTATCCATAAATAATCTTATATTATTGAGGAAAATTTGGAATCATCCTCCGTCAACATACATACGTACATTTTTAAAAAGTGCTGCACTCCCAATATTAAAAAACAAAATGACAACGGCCGATGCCGAAAGACCTGTTGGCAGCGGCAGCAGCACCAGCAGCAGCTCAACTGCCAATCAACGGGGTGTCAGTCGCGTACTTGCAAAGTTATCCCATTCGTTGGCGGAGGGAGAGTTTTATGAAGCACACATGATGTATCGAACGTTATATTTTCGTTATACTGCCCAGAAACGTTACCAGGACTGCTTAGATTTGCTATTTGACGGTGCACAGAAACTCATCGAGAAGGAGCAGGAAGGCAGCGCTGCGGATTTGTGTTTATTGCTGGTGGATACCCTAGAGAAGCGTGGCCCGCGACCGGAGGACACGGACAATTTCGAATGGGTGCCTCGCTTTGGTGCATTAATACGTGGATTGAGCGCAACTACAGTGGAGCGCGAGACGCTGATCGTATGTTAAAATTATTCAATTTACCCAACTATTTCTTATATGTTTTGTTTTGTTACATTAGCATCGCGTTGTGAAATGGAGCACCACTGTGCACGGTCAGTTCGGTCATCCGGTCTTGCACAAGCTTATTGCGCATGTGTTCTGGACAGAGGGAAACATTGAGTCGGCACGCCACCACTATTTGCTCTGCCAGGATGGTAGTCTTTGCGGGCGCGTGCTGATTGAAATAAGCCAGAGCAAGGGCTTCCACAAAGAAGTTGATTTGTTTTTGGTGCAGGCGGTGCTGCAGCAGCTATCATTGAAGGATCGCAAAACGGCAGATGACATGTTTAGCGAGTATACACGATACCATCCAAAAGTACTGAGGCACGAGTTTCCCTACAAGGAGCCATTGATCAATTTCCTGTACTTCTTGTTTCGACTTATCGATACGAAGAGCGTGATGGGCTTTCGTGCTCTGCGCAAGCTGTACGATCCTTCCCTGAAGCGAGACGCTTCCTTTCACAAATACCTAACGAAAATTGGTGTCATATACTTTGATGAGCAACCGGAGCAGGTGCATGCTGGAACCTCCGGGCTTGGTGGCATGTTTGGCGACATCTTCAATCAGCTGATGCAGGGTTTCGATGACGAAGATGAGGTGCAAAGTAGACCACAGCGACAGCGACAAAACGCAAACAGTGAACTGGACTAGCAGCAAATGCCGTGGCCGGATTAGCAGTCCGCGAAGTCAACGGGGTTCATTGATACTTATATTCACACCGGGGCTTTGTTTGTAATGTTATTATATATTTGCTAAATTAAAACCTTACTGGCATTTGCAGTAATAGGCACAAATGATTTACGTATATACGCTGTTAGTGTGGGCAGCCGACATATCCATAAATGGCAAAGCAAAAATTGCACAGAATGGCATTGGACGACACAAATTCATATGCTGTTTGTAGTGTAACAGTGTACGGTATAGTTATCGATAAGCTGTTGCTCGATATTAATCTCTTATTACGCATCTCTATTGGAATGTATTGTATATTTTAGTACATTGCCGCATGCGGTATTTTACCACGTAATTCTACTCTTTAACAGCAAAAATATATGTTGAGAACTGTCTTGCTTTAATTTTTCAAGCAAATTTAGAACAAACAAAATTACGTTATCACGACATGTCATATATAAAATTGTATACCATTGCTTACACGTGAGTGGGATTGGAGTAAACAAATATTAGTCACGTGCCCATCTCTAGTTCACATATATTTTAGTTTCAGGTAGAGTTGAATGGAAAAAGTTGAAAATTAAGTTTTATTCTTGGGCTGTAAAGGAAACAGACCTAATCGAGTGACTTTCAAATTTCCGAGTAAGTTAAGCCGCGTTCAAATTCCAAATGCCAAGACAAACGTACATAAATCCATCTAAATGCCGTGCCGTTTGCAGCGATATGGATGATAAAGCAGCAGCGCCCACTGCCGACGCTGCAACCGAAACAGAGGCCGGTAATGAAATTTCATCAGTGCTAGATCACACAACGGTCACAATGGAGCCATTACCGACCTCATCGAAGTCGACAATTGCCGAAACAGATGAGGCTGAGAGGCGCACGGCGGCAGCTGCTGCAGCAGCAGCGAGGGATTCGTTCAACGTGGACACGGAACGGTGCTGTTGGATTTGCTTTGCGACGGACGAGGACAATCGCTTGGCGGCCTGGGTGCAGCCCTGCCAGTGTCGTGGCACTACAAAGTGGGTTCATCAGAGCTGCCTGTATCGCTGGATCGATGAGAAGACACAGAAGGGTAATGCGCTTCGCTCTGTATCCTGCCCGCAATGTCAAACCGAATACATCATTGTATTCCCGCAAATGGGCAAACTGGGTGGTGCCTTGGAAGCCATGGACAATCTGGTCAAGCGTCTGAGTCCGTTTTTGGCGGCGGGCTTCTTTGTCGGTTCGCTGTACTGGACAGCCGTGACTTATGGCGCTGTGACGTTTCTCCAGGTGAGCCCATTAGGCAAAAACTACATATACTGTCATAACGATGTTCATGCAGATTGTTGGTCACGAGCATGGCATGTCTATAATGGAATCCGGTGATCCGCTCATACTATTAATTGGCCTACCTGCAATACCAGTTGGCCTGGTACTTGGTCGGCTAATTCGTTGGGAAGATGCCCTGTTGCGTTTGATACGCAATCGTGGCACCGTCATGCGCAAGTTTCCCTTTGTGAATTTTATATATCCAGATCTGTAAGTTTCTCAATGTACCTGATAGTTGCTTCAGCTTAAGTTATTTTCGTTTGCAGAAATCCGCAGGAGGAAGAACTGCCGACTTCTTCTAATCCGGCCACACCGGCCCTTTCGGATCCAGTTTCGGCAACTCGCATATTTTGCGGAGCTCTGCTGCTGCCTACAATTTCATGCATTGTGGGTCGCATATTGTTCGATTCCGTGGAGAACACACTGCATCGCACACTACTCGGCGGTTTAACCTTCATCACTGTGAAGGGCATGTTGAAAATCTATTTAAAACAGAAGCAATACGCGCGTCGCAAGAAACGTCGTATTGTAGACTATACGGAGGAGAACATACGCAATTTTATGCATCGCAACAACAACAACGCTGGTGCCGCTGGTATTGGTGGGGCTCGTCATATCCTGCAGCAGCAACAACAGCAGCAGCAGCCGCAGCAACAGCCAGTGCTGGCGATGCCTCGCCTGGTTGCTGCTGCGGCGGCTGCTCGGGACCGTGCTGCTCGAGACCGCGAACGGGAAAGGGAGCATGAGGTCAATGGTGTGGACAGCGTTGTTTAGATGCAAATGGACACTCAATTGATGTTCAATTGATATATAGCTATATACTTATTGTTCAACTAGTTCAGTTTTGGTTTAAGTTCATTTTGTTAACCACTCAAAAACACGGGGCACAGGTCACCAAAAACTCAGAAAATCCAAAAAAAAAAAAAAATGCACATGCAACATGCGTACATGCGAGCCAAATTCATTGTTAAATCTTACGAGATGAAGCTCTTCAGGACGAAACGATTAAGTCAGCCGCATATTGGTTGGTCAAATTTTATGTTATCAATAAAATATGAGAGAAATCAAATGTGTACTGTCCATTTAGCTATTAAATATATATATACCTAATTATAATATAACACATAAAATGCATATATGCTTCCAGAGAATTGAATTTATGTTAACATTGTGTAAACTACAAATACTACAAAATTGCCTATGTAAATAAAACCAAAACCCTTGGCTGTGGGTGGGTTTATAATGATGCCAATATTAATTCACTGTGTACTTAAGATCCATGCCCCAAAGTGCAAAATACGTATTTGACTTGGCCAGATTAGATAAGCTCGCCGCTGGACTGTTCCCACTGCAATCGCAGCAAGAAAGTGTGAATAATTTCTTTATTTTAAAGCACTCGGCCTGTAAGCCGCTCGGTCTGAGTCATCAAGATAATGAACCCGCTTTGTGAGTGACCGCCCCGCCAGCACTTACTAGTGTGTGTGTGTGTGTGTATGTGTGTGCGTAGTTAAACACGGCTTGAAGGTGCTGCACAAGAGCCGCAACATCATCCCATCTATCATATGTACACAAAAGTTACAGTTAAAGACCCGGACAAAGTGAATGCTCCAAAAAGCGATCTAATCATTTATAATTGTTAGCGACTCGAGTGTTTGTTTTGTCTATTTGCGCTTATCATCGACAACACACGAGCTGCTAGATGATATCTGTGTGTGTACATATAGAAAATACATATGTATAACAAATGCAAACTTCTATCAGGCAATAGCGACTTTTGCAGTGCGCTAAAATCTAAAGTTATACATCGGTGGTGGGGCACAAATAGATATCTTGGGAATATTTTAAACTACTAAAAATCTGACTTTCCAATATTAGTTTATTTATTTTTTAGTTATACGACTCAGTTAAATCTGTTATATGTTTACTAACTGTTCCCATAATGCTCTCGCTCGAACTAGCTGTACGTTTCATATTTCCCAAATAGCTGTCCTGTTCTGTCAGATTATCCCAAACTTTGAGCTTAACCTAAATGCGTAGAGGAATCTGTGATAACATAATTAGTCTCCAGTTTTAAAACTGGTCTTTTTTCTGTAGACGGTACACGTTTCGGATTCGGCCAGATTGTATTAATATATCATATTAGCTGCCAATATATGCTCGGTCGATAATCAGGTTTTCATGTGCGGTTTTTTTGTATTTAAAGGTGTCCTAACGAAATTCGAGACTTACAGGTACCACCATATTTACTATATGTCGGCGAGAACCTTTAATAATTTTAAAATAGTCATATTTTATTACGTATTTGCAGCGCATTGAGGCAGTCTGCAAGGCTGCGTCGGTTGAACATGAAGTCGAGCACAACCAATACACGGCCAAATTCGCACACAGGTGATTTATATGTATATATTCACCTGTGTGAGTGTGTATGTGAACGAGTGTGTCGGTGTATTGTGTGCGAGTGTGTAGCCCACCTGTTTGGCTTTTCAGGAGCAATCACACGGTCTTGCGTTCACCGCAGTTGAAAGATTTCTTGCTGCTTTCTTTCGCTGCCGTCACACCAGCAACAACAACAACAACAACAACAACAGCGACAGCGACAACAACTACAACTCCAACGGGTTGCGTTTGTTCTTTGTGACTGAGCGTCCGTTGGGGGCCAAAGGCGGGCGCACTCATAACGTAACGAATCGCTGGAGCTGGGAGTCGTGTCGCTTCTCGACTCTGTATTGTTGCTGCTGTTGTCGTTGTCGTTGTTGTTGTTATTGCTTCTGCTGCCGCTGCTGCTGTTGTTGCTGTCGCCGTTGTCACTTGTGTGCGACGACAGCGACTACGGTTAATAACAACGTTGTGTCGGCAACTCCGCAGTCAGACGGGCACCGGCGACCAACACGCATCGGCAGCGACGCGTTGCTCTGATAAACGAGGCAACAAAGAATACGAAAAAAGTTAAAACAAAACAACAGCAAAAAAAAAAAAAGAAAACATATGTAGAAATACGCTAATACATATTGTATAGTTCCGTAGTATATATGTATGTACGCTTTGGTCGGCATCATTCGGGAGTTTCTCGGCATTATATCAAAGTAAACGAAAAATGAACTGATACCAAATCGAGTTGTTGTCGCAACTGCAACTGGCCACGTTTAACCACGATTGTCATTGAAAAGTGCACCAAACATCATCATTGAACAGTTAATACCCAGATCCTTGAGCAACATGAGCAACACTATGACGGCCGCCCATGAGCCGACCATGCACTATCTGGACAGCATCTTGAATGAGGAGGAGAAGCGCTGCGATCAATACTCGCATCAATGGCGCAATTTCACAATATCACGTTCGGGCCGCTTCAGGTCGAAGAACAAGAAACGCGATGTCGTCGATGGAAAACTATTCGATGGCTCTCACAATGGCAAGGAAAATGATAAGGTGCGTTCAGTGTTCCTTTTAACCCAGCTTTCTGTAGTGGCCCATTTTCATTTTCATTTTCATTTCATTGCTTATCAGCAGACACTCCAAAAATAGACTATATATACATATATATATATATATATGTACATATATCAATGACAACAATATCGCGATCAGTATTGTAAATTGTGTGCGTGCACGTTAACGTGATTTATATAAGTATATATATATATGTATATATATTAATCTAGCAACGTCGTGGGTCTTAACGGTCTTTTGGCTCGAAAGTCCAAACGTCAGATATAAGTTTTGCTGTGTCTTTTTCATGTGAATTGAACAAACAACAACAGCAATAACAGAAGAAAAAAAAACGGAAATGCTCATTAATAATAAACGGAAGTTGTTTTATTATGATAAGACGGCGTGCAGTCAGCTCTATGATGATGATTATGGGCTCTGCTGCTGCTCTCTGCTCTGCTCTCCTAAATATAGCACTCAATGTCACAGGAATCTGTATTCCAATTGATGACAAATTTTCACTTTTTCCTGGGATATATGCAAAAATTAACAAGTGTTTTACGTGTTCGATGCTTAAGGCCAAGAGTAGAGATACAATTGTGAAATATTTATACAAAAACCTCTTAACGTTAGTCATTCGTAATAAAAGCAATTAGGAGAAGTGTTGCTCGGATGAAGCTTAAACTCGTTTATGAACACAAGTTAAAAGGTTGCCAAGCTAAAATATAAATCAAGCACAAGCGCTCTTAGTATCTAGTATTGGCCATACAATAGCGTATCCCAACTCCATATGCCTGGGCTAAAATCACTTATAGATATGGCGTAGCTAGTGCAAAATAGTCTTGCTTGCAATTTGGCTACTATAAAACAGATAAGATTATAAAGGGTACTTTTGCTGCTATCAAATTCATAGCCTTGACTGCAATTTTCCATTTAAACTATCTGCGTCGCAGATCTTTGCCCAAGTACCTAACATTTTGTAAGTTCCTATGCCAGCTAAATGCCCCCAATAAAAGGGTTATATACTTTTGAATTATAAGAAAAAGTACCATAAAACGCAGTCAGAAAATGGCTTCAAAGTAAAAAAATTATTAAAAATAAGTATATAAAGTAAACAAAAAACAGAACTCGCCCGTGTGCAAGCCAAAATAAGTAAGATCAATGTGTTTTTTATGCATATACATGTAAAAACATATATATATATATATATATATATATTTATTTATGTACATGTATGTATGTATATAGACAGCGACCGATAAACACACCTTTCTGGAAATTTTATACACCTGTGTTTGTTTGGCGCCACCGTAAGATGAGTAAAACGACCGAAAATTTACCATATTGTCATATAATACACATTCGAATATCGTTTATAAATATGTATGTATGTATATGCAACTATCTACACGGCGCACAACGAAACCAAATATGTCGCAGGGGCGACATCAAAAAGTTGTATTGGACGGCACGCGAATCTTGTTAAATTTGGCAACTCAACCGGCCAGCCAGCCAGCCAGTCAGCCGGTCGGTCAGTGGAGAAGGGGTAATGCCACGGCACGACCTGTGGGCCAGCTGGGAGCGAGGGTGTGTTCCTTTCTGGCCTCTTACGCAACAAATGCAGTGACCGATCGATCGATTGCCAACAGCCACGCAGTGGTTGGCGCGTCATTGTCGTCTGTGCATTGAACTTGGCTAATGTTACTGGGAAACAAAAACAAATAAGTATCTCGCTTTGTTTTATTATACCAGTTAAAGCAAATTCAGATTGGTCATTTTTGGCTGTTTAAAAAGGTCTCAAGCCGTGAATTCTGGTTGTACCACATGTCGTATGAATAATTTAAAACAAAAATTACCGAAAAAAGTTGAAAACATGCCCACAACAATTTTCAAGCTGTGCAAATTTAAACAAGGATTTCAGCTAGAAGCAAAGCTTTCTAAGAATTTCGTTGTTTACCTTTAATATAAAACTAGACCAGTTTTTAACAGTTTCTTTACCCCAAAAACTAACCAGTATTTATAGATCTCGTGACGTGGTCTTGGCTTAAAGTATAACAAAGAAAAGCCCCTGTCTGGTCTAAATATCCGTGTTTATATACAATGATAATAAAGCATGAATTATGGCCAAGGTTTTACCAACTAAAGCACTCAAACAATATTGTATGTACCTATATCAGATATTGCAAAATTTTCTTCTTTGCGTTTTAACAGCGCAAAAACCTTATCAAGCAACAACAATAGGAAAAGCAACAACAAAGACAAACCTTTTTTTGTGCTTTTATTGTTATACATATAGGGAAAAACACCTATGTATATACGTACATATACATCATATAGGTAAGTGGTTGTGCACGCTTCGACTGTTGTGTTGCCGCCAATTGTCAAAAAAAAAAAAACAGCTCCAGCAGAGAATTATACATGTATATATATATAAATATTCGTATGTATTTAGTGCATGTCGATAGCATGTATTTGATTAAAATCAGGTGCTAAATCAAAAATATGACTTTGGAACATGTCTTTTGATTACTTTTTGAAAGTCAGTTTCTCTGATTGCTGGCAGCCAAATGAAACCCTAATCTAAATAGACTTCAAATGGTAGCTGATAGTGTTTAAAGAGTGGTTGACTATATGTTAAATTTATTATATCTCTTCTATTGCAGATTTCAGCGCGCAATACAACCAGCGCCATGTCCAAATCATCCTGCTCATATAATACAAATACAACAACTGGCGGCAGTGCAGCGACAACAACAGGATCGTCATCGGTGCGAAGTCAACGTGACAAAACGGAGAGCTATAAAAGTTTTTACGAAACAAATTTATAGATAGTGTCGGGGGCTATATACATTCTGACATATGCATGCATTTGCGTATATATATAAAGCCTTTAAATATATATATATATATATATAGTATATATGTATAACATTTGTATTACGCTTTATTAAATCAACCTAAGAGTTTATTGCACAACGTGTAGACTATATAAATGTGCAAAATTCGCAACAAAAAAACAAAAGAACACGAAGAAAAAAACAGACAAGAACTGCAACAACACAGGAGAAGACTAATTTTTTGCGCAGGCTGCTTGATAAAGATTATTTTGTGTGTTTTTGTTTAGTTTTCTGCTATTTAGTTTTAGTTGAGTATAGAACAGATTGGGCGCTAGCTTAGACATTCTCTAAATATATATAAACATATAAACACATTTATATATATATATAGATCGATTGTACTTACATATATAAAGTAAATGTATGAACATTATTATCTCTTTCTTGCTTAGATTGTACAAGTATTAAAACGTGATAATTGCACTAAATCGCATATGCATATCTTTAACTATACATATTACAATAGTATATATATACATATGTATATTTGTCTTAACTTTAGTAAAAATTCAATGCTTAAAACATAATCAAATAAAGCATAAGGTTCCTTTTCCTTAAACGTTTCATTCATTTAACTAAATCATAAGGCGTCATCGTCGTTTTCGTTGGTGGCCACTGTCGCTCTTATATAGCTCACATCTAGCACACAGAATTTGGCACGACACATGGGACATGTGCACTTCTGTTCTAGCCATACCTCACGATCGATGTCACTCTGACGGGCTGCAAACCAGCGCGCCAAGCACTCCACACACCACATGGGCCGACAATAGCAATTGGAGCAGCATGCCTCATCTGTTAGAGGCGCGCCTGCCCGATTCAAATCGGAGCATTGCTTGTTTATTTTGATGTTGGGCTCGGCTAGCATGCAGGCAAAGCACTTGTCTGTAATGGGCTCTGAGCTGAAGATTGGATTGAGGGCCACCTGCGTTTTGAATACATCCACAAACCGATCGATGACGCTTCGATGGAATTGTATGTTAGAGGGTATGGTAATAGGACGTCTTAGGCGATCCTCCAAGCTCCGAAATTCTAATGCATTGATGCGAATGTTAAAATCGGAAACGCCTTGACGCATCGGTCGCACAACAATGCTAATCATTTGCAAGGTATCGTTTTGATCGTGGTGTGATATATTGTAAGTTTCCGCCTTCAAAGAAGTTATTTAGTTATCTAGAAATTATAGAAATTTGGGGAGCACCCGATACATACCTTGGCAACGCTGAGTGAAGTGTTGGCTTGGTGCGCAAAGTTGACATTATACATGGTTGTTTTGATAATCCAGTTCTCTGTGGCAATCACCATGCTAATGGAGTTGAGTTTCTTTTTGTAAATATCCTGGCGACGGAACTCGGTGCCAATGTCGCTGGCTACGACGCTGTAACTGCCTGGAGTATTCGAGTATTTGGCCAGTGTTTTGTTTATGGGATGTCGGCGCCAGTTTTGCTGATGCCAATTAAAGATTAGAGCCGGCACGGCTAACACAGCCAGCACACTGAAGCGTTGCGCCATTTTCCAGGTGAGTGTTTTAAAGGCCACTGCCTCCTGTGGCATGGGAAAATCCGGGTCAAGCTCATTATCCTCGAGCGGTTGTTGTGTGGCAAAAACTGAAAACTTCAATCTGTGTATGAGGAAATATGTGACGGGCAGGCAGCTGTGTACGAAGAGATTGAGTGATGTGCGGCGCAAATGGTAGCCAACAAAATCACGATATTCCTCTCCCAGGAATCGCGAGAACACCTGCTCAATCGTAAAGCCCAGACGCTGAAATTCCTCGGGCGGATAAATGACGCACATGCACAATAGGAAGTAGAACAAATTGAAGAGCAGTTCCGACTCATCCATGTTGCGAAAAATTTTGAAAAATTCAAGTAAAACCAGTAATAAAATATACAAGTCCAGGGTCTAAATTAGAGATGCGCAATTGTTGTTGATGTGTCGCGTACACAGAGTTGCATTCGCTGTTGTCGATAAATCGATTTGTTTGATTTTCCGTTTTTGTTTGAGCGCGACTGACATATTCCTGTCAATTTCAAATTGTATTATTGTTCCTCGGTTGATCATAGCTGAGGGTATCCTGATGATTTTTTGAAATCCTCAGTGCTATCAAAAGTGGTAGCAGCGGAATAAGGTATATACCATAATCCATTATGAAATCAATGGCGGAGATTATGAAAACCATACTTCGGTGTTATAAATGTATATTTTTTGTAAAATTGTTTTAATACAAAACTTGCTTTGATTGATTGCTTGATTTGTGCTATAGTTTAATGATGAAAACAAATGCAAATATGTAATCTTTTGCGTCAAATGGATATATAACATTCCATTGGGTGTCATGGAAGCTGAGTCTGATTTAGAGCGATATGTTAAATTAGGCAGTTAACAAATTGCGTTAGAATTTTTCTTATGCGGACATTATATACATTACTCTATATCTATATCATTAGTATAACAAACCACATCCATTTATGACCACTATATTAGTGCTTAACGGAATGTGTGTGTGCGTGGGTGTGGCTTGCAAAAAGTAAACTAGTGCGTATTAGTGGACGGTTACTCTACTGCTGGAGTTCACTCAGATTCGGAATGTTGTTGGTGTAATCATCATTGGAGGCCGAACTGGAGTCGTTGGTAAACTCAAAGCTATTCTCGCCGCTGGTACAGGTAACTGTTGTCAGACTGGAGTCATTATTAGAGGTCTGATGATCGGAATTGCTCAGATTTGGCAGTGACACATCCGCCTCTTCGTCATCTACATCCACCACATCATCATCGTCATCGTCGTCTTCTTCTTGCTCGTCGTCATCATTACTCAGGCTATTTGTGCCGATGCTGTTGTTGTCCGCATTATCGTCGCGAGCCTTGGCTCCATTGCCATCTAGCTCCCCAGCCCCGCTGACAGTATTCAAATTTAATGCGCTTATCGCTGGCAAATTATTGTAGCTAGCTGTGCTCATATCTGGTACTGTTTTCGTAGCGGTCGATTTTGATGTTATTGCTGTCGCATCAGATGCGCCGCTTATCTCACAGCTGGAATTTTCAATTAAAAGCGTTATCAATGGCACATTTGGTATGGTCGCTGTTGATGTGCTTGCACTACTGCGGCCATTGCTGCCGATGTCCGAATTGCCAGCATCCAGCGTCGTGGATGTTATTGCCATTAATACTGCCTCGGAGCTGCCATTGAGTATGGATAGGTGTGGTATATTTTGCGGCTGCAGTGTTTGATCGCTTGAAGACGCCAGCTTTTTGCTGCTTGCATTGAGAATTGATAGATTGGGCACGTTGGCTGTGTGTGAGGCAGATGGGACATTGCTTGCAGTTGTGGATGCGACATTGCTGGCCGTGGCTTTCAGCAGACGCGAGGATCGTGCGGCTCGTGGTGGAGGTACGGGCACTGTGCTGGATGTGCCATTCTCAAGCTGCTGCGGCACGCTCTTGTCACGTCTAACCATATGCTTATCGAAGTAATCCAGATTCATGCCAGTACCACGAGCTTGTTCAGCGGCTGCATTCAATGCGGATGTATTGGGCTGGTAGCTGGCACCGTCCTCCACGTCCATGTCCTCGCTGAGATCTTCACTGCACAAATCCAAGCTGATGTGCGCTGCAGGTCCATCGGTGGGACGATCTGGTTTCGGCTCTAAAACAGTGTAAAACCTGTTAGATATGGGTAAATTAAAATATTGCTTACGCTACTTACCATTCAGGAAATGCAATGCGACAAAATCGGCAGCGCTGTAGATCTCGGCATGCACGAGCAATTGCAACAACACACCCACTGTGGGGCGTTCGTTAAGTTTGCCTGAGGTTTTCCACTCGTCGATCATTACCTGTGATATGCTTTGGCCGGGCGTTAAGCGTTCTGCGGTGCCATCAATCAGACTTATTTGTTGGGCTGTATATTTAAGTCCCACCTTGGCAGCGATTTCCTGATAGTTGAGCGCACCCGGTGCGCTGCAGGCCTGCGCATCCAGGCGCTTCGGTATGATGGACATTAGCTTGCGCCAGCAGCCGTTCACATCGAGAATTGTGGCCAACTTGTATATGTCGTTGTCATCGACACGCCGCAGTTCCGTGCAGCGCGTATATTTTGAATATATGGGAACAGTGCTTGTGGTGGTACAAACAACCGCCCAACCGTTTGCTTTTGCCATATCCATTTTGTTTTGGTTGGTGAATCCTTTAACTTTACCACGAGCGAACTTCTTTTGAGTGGAGGGAGCTGTTTTCTGACTGTCACGTGTGCCGTTATAAAAGCATTTTATATTTACTAGCGTTTCGTTGCTCTTGCGTTTTCACTGAATTTTCCTATGAGCCATCATCATTGGTTTCTCCGCACACACATATATGTATAAAAATACATATGGAATTGCCGATGTGATCAGCTGTTTAAAATTTTAGAGTTGCTCTATCGATGAGTAATCGATAACAGCGACTTCACAGCAATCGCTCAGCACTGAGCGCTCCAATATTTCAAATTACAGTCTTAAATTCTATTATTTTAGAATTGATTTTAATTTTTATTTTAAACAAGCTGTTCAAATATTTGTATAATGGACACAATTACATTCAATACATTGTATAAGTGTATGCTTAAAAAATCATAAACAAGGACGAACAAACACAGATAAGGTCGTAAAATGGATAGACAGCTTTTTGCTTATGCTAATTATAAAACTTTCGTTGGTAATTTCAAAATAAAACATACATATACATATGCTATATACTATAAAAGATTTGTGTGCTTACATTGCTTCAATTCATATGCTCTACTTATGTTTTATATATTTAAGGTCACTTTCTTATTTGTTTCGCATATGTTCAATTCGCTGAGGTTTCGCTAGTAGACGGAATGTTTGCTGATTTATATCTAAACGAGACTCTTGAGTTTGTGTGTATTTTGTAAAGCTGTACGCTTTGCCAAAAAACTCGGACGGTTTGATTTCATATTTCCTTATTACTAATTATTGGCGTTAGTATAAAAAAAGGTTGTGATAAACAATAACACACTCATGATCAGCGCGGTATTGATGTTGTGGCCGTGTCGCGTATTCGCTGCATTGCGTGTTGTCTTCCCCATTTGGAAGCGCAGAGTGGGACTGGACATGCGCCCATCGCCGCCATTGCTAAAGGCAAGCACACGCATATTGTAGCTCTTACCGGGCGTCAGTGTGTTGATGAAGACCTCGAGTTTCTGTCCAATAGGCACAATTGTATTGTTGGCAGTGATCATATTTTGATCTGTCTCCCAAATGCGTACCTGCCAAAAAGAGAAAGACATTTTATATATGGTTGCCAGAAGCACGTTCACGGGCTTTTATACCTTATAGCCCTCAATGGGCTCCTCATCTTGCGCCGGTGATACATAACGCCACACAACGCGCACCGTGGACGGATTTATGCCATAGACATGCACTGAAGACGGCGGCTTCTGTGGTGCCTTGCGATATGTGCGTTCTATTATAAATAAAATAAAACGTTAAATATTTGTGGACCTAAATGCTTTTGCTAAATTGAAGGCACCTTCGAAACGTTCGCTTTCGGGACCCTCGCCGGCCGCATTGTATGCCATGACCTTCACAAAGTAATACGTATCCGGCTGCAGACCCACAATAAGCGCCCAGGGGCGTGTGGTACGCGATAAATAGTAGACGGCATCCTCTTCCTGATGCGTGGTTTTCCAATATTTTAACTGAAGTAATAAACGTATATAGTAAAGAAACTATAGCAACACAATTTATAAGCTTTAACTTACCCTATGACCTATTAGCTTGCCGCGTATATTCTCACGAGACATGTCAATGGGACTCCACGATACATTGAAACAGGTAGAATTGTAGGCCAGTGCAAATGGTTTCTGTGGCGCCACTTGTGGCATATCCTCGGCAGAGTGTATGACAACCGTTTTGCTTATGGGTCCCGCGCCAACGCTGTTGATTGCTTGCACTCTCACCTCGTACTCGGTATAATAGTTATTGAGCGGAATGTTAACCACGGCCACGCCTACGTTTTCTTGTTTCTTTCTTACATCCGTGGCCCAATCGAGGGCACCCTTTAGCTTCCAAAATACTTTGTAATGTATGCCATGACTATGTTGCTCCTGTGGCAACAACGGCTCCCAGGTAATGGTCAGATCGCCAATCTTGCCGCCACCACCGCTCACTTTCCGTGGGGCAATATATGGTATATCGTCGTAGGTGCTGTAGATGGGCGATGGGGCCGAGGGTGTGCCAATGCCCAGATCATTGACGGCCGTGACGCTGAACTCGTAGGAAGACCATGGCGTTAAGTCCCCGACCTCAGTCTGCTGGCGCGATGTATAACGATCTACCTCGCGCGGCTTCTGATGCATGGAAACGTTGGCCCAAGTGCGATTCCAGTTGGTGCGGCCAAGTACATGGTAGTAGAGTATGGGACGACCATTATTTACGCCATCCACCCACTCAATGATGGCCTTGGTCTTGCCAATCTCAATCACCTGCACCCCGCCTGGAGCACCAGGAGCGCCCTGAATGATAACATTTGTCGTGGTGCTAATTTCATTGACAGCTGATTTGACGACGCACTCGTAATCGCCAGAATCGCGCATCGTTGTGTTGTGCACCGTCAAGCTGTTCCAATCGACAACCTGCGAAGGCATTTATAGAGAGAGTTTATAAATTTTAGATATGGCGTAAGGTTGGACATACAATGCGCTCGGTGCCGTCGTGATTATTGCGTAATATTTCTCCATTATGCTTCCAAACATAGGCAATGTCCAGCAGCTCATCGTAAGCAGCCTCGCAGTGCAGATATATAAGGTCATGCTCCTTGGAAACAATGCGCTCCGGTGGCTTCTGTACAAAGCGAATTTCCTCTACAAAAATATATGAATGTATGTTCAGATACTGCAGTGCTTCTAATATTCACAATTATAACTTACGTAGCACAATAACTCGAGCATGCGACTCATCCGATCCTGCCTGATTGGAGGCTACGCACGTATACATGCCCTCATCATCGCGGGATGTGGGTGCTATTGTGAGAGTTCCGCTGGGCAAAATGCGTCGATGTCCACCGGAGCCCAGCAATTGACCATCCTTTTTCCATTGGAATTTGGGACGTGGGGCAGCCTCTGGATCACAAACAATAGTCGTATTGCCATTGTAAACAGCATAGATCTCCGATTCGAGTGGATGCTTATTAAACGATGGCTTCATGGACAGCACACGCAACTGAGCCGAGCTGTAGGATGTCTTCAGCTGATTCTGTGCACCACACTGGTACATGCCCTCATCTTTGTCCTTCTCAAGGAATTTAATTGTAAGCACATTGTCCTGTATAACATAGCGGTCTCGATTGATGCTCAAAGGATCAAGACGCTCGCCGTTCTTATACCAAGTGTAGTTGGCATCGGGTATGGCAAAGGCTTCACAAATGAAGGTCACATCACTGTTGTAGTCCTTGATCATGTCCTTAAGCGGTATGGTGAATTCAGGTCGCATTTGTATATTGATATAAATGGACTTTTCCAGAGTCTTACGCGGATTGGTAATACTGCACGTGTACTGGCCATTATCATTGGTCGTTGCATTCCTAATGATCAGAACGCGTCCATAGCTGGTCGTGTAGGAATTGCGCTGCAGCGGCTGGCCATTGCGCGTCCAGTTGTACGAAGGTATAGGATAGCCAAAAGCCATGCATTCCAAACGAATCTCTTCGCCGGCAACTGGAGCCTCCGGAAAGACTTTGGGAAAAGTATTGGCAAAGATCAGCGCCTGATAGTTGCTGTTGGGCGTCACGCGCAGCGGGAAGAAGGGTCCATTGCGACCCGTGTCTGAGACTAGGGTTTGCACAGTGCACGAATAATTGGCACGATCTACGGTCTCAATAAACGAGAAGTAGAGGGCACCATCGTAAGAGACAAATACTCGCTGATCCTCCTCCACGAAATTGGGGAAATAATCACGTGCCCAATAGTATTTGATAGCCGGGTAATGCTGCGGCGGATCACAGAATATGGACTTGCCCCAGTTCATTTCACTCGATTCCGCCGAACGCTTCAAATTGAATTCCATGATGAAACCAAAATTAAGATGCGCACTCTCCGAACGGATGCGACCAAATTTGTTTTGCGCAATGCAATGATACGCGCCCTGATCCAGAGCCTGCTTGGGCTCATATATAATCAAATTGCCACCCGATATGGTATAGCGATCTTCCACCAAGGGATCAATCCGATGGTATTCCAACGTATCGTTCACATAGACCTCGCGAAACCACTCGTAGGTGGGCGTCGGATAGCCTCCAGCCAGGCAGCTCAGCGAAACATCGTTGATCAACCGATTCTTGTTCACATCAAAGGTTGTGTCATTCGGCTGCTTTACAAAGTACGGGCCACGTGGTATGCGCTCCAGATCGCGTATGTCCAGGCCATAGGTATAGGGGCGTTTATCATCCAGTTTTGTATTGACATTGTCCGGGCTGTAAAGCGCCTTCGACTCGCAAATAAAGAGATTCAGTTCAATTTCGTACGCAGGCATAAACATCCAGCGATCGCGTTTTTTCGAATAAGCATAGACCACACGATCCCGCAAATAGCCATTATCTCCATAGGGCTGATTTGGACCTGTAATGGAGAAATGATATTAATGTATGTATTTGCAATTTTTGATTTTTCTTCATACCAAAGTAGCCACGCAGATTGTTTTGATTCCGCTGATTCACATTCGTTGTACCCGTCAGCGAATTGTAGTACTGATTGGGATTATTATTAAAATTGCGATTGTTTGGATCGTTTTGCACAAGGAAACGATTGTCAATCAGATCCTCGTTTTCGAGCGCCTGCTGCTCATCGAAGGCAAAAGAGTCTTCAATTTGCACCAGCTGCGTATTGTCATCATTCACCCAGTTTTGGGGACCCGTTTGGCGTGCCGAGATAAAGAAACGATTTTGTCGCTGATTCTGCAGGATTAATTGCTTTAAGATAAACGAATGCTTCTCCACATTGTCTACATTCAGCAAATCTGCCGTGTAGGCCTTGCATATCTTCTTCGCCTCAGCCCAGTTGCGTTTGGGGGAGCGTATAAAGCGATAGCATGTCTGCCGGAATGATACCCAATGCTCGGGACAAAAGTTATCCTCATCGGTGAACATGTCCCTATAGCCGATACCTGTCTTGCTGGTCACAGTGTTTCGATTGAAGGGATCGTATTGGGGTCCCACGTTGTTAATGCTACCTGGTCCGCCAATGTTGCTGCCAGACCCCACCAATGGACGATTACCGTCGTAATTGTTGTAGCCATTATAGTTATTTGGATTTAGCCCGGCGCCTCCATAATTTGGGTTACTTGGCTGATTGTTGAAATCCAGCAACGGA